CTGGAATAAACTCTAAAATGAAAGATTCGCGATGCTCGTGCTAAATTGAACAAAAAAAAAAAAAAAAAAAAGAAAAAGAAGAAGAAAAAGTGAAACGCGATAGTTGAAACGGCGGAGACTCGATCCAGCGGTAGTACCGGTCGCCGTTCCCTCGGGACGTCGTTAACGCGAACTCGCTGAAAATGAAAACGAAACGAAAACGAAAACGAGAGCGCGGGTAATCCCGCTTTGGCCCGTTAACCGTGTTCTCGAGCGTGACCGGTTGCGAAAGAATTTCGAGCGGTGCGGTGTGATCGCGAAACGATTCGACTTGCCGTCGTTGTCGCGGGCCACTCTCCCTCGAATGTCAGAGTTCAAGGATCTTCAAATGGTACGTACGGTACTTACAAAAGAACGAGTTTCATCCACATGTTGACGATTTTCTATGGACCTGTTGTTTGTCTCCTCTGCGTCCGGCCCCCGTTTGCGATGTGAGACAGAGAACCAAGTCGGACGTGAACGAACGTGATGGCCACGTTGGATGGCCGAGCAACCTTTGAAAGTTTTCCAACCACGAAGCGTGATACTACAGCGTAGTAAGAAGAAACGACCAGGAACACGTTTCGTCACCGGACACTCGCGATCATCGCGATCACCTTTTCTCTCGACGACGCTCGTCTTCCAGCTGCGACGATCCGTGAAAGGGGCTGCTTCTCGTCTTCGACGGACACCTTCGAGGTACACAATCTGTACCGAACCTTCGATACGTTTCACGCTCTCTCTCTCCCTCTCTCTCCCTCTCTCTCTCTTTCTCTCTCTCTCTCTCTCTCTCTCTCTCTCTTTCTCTCTCACACACGCACACACATACACGCACGCGCACACACACAGGCAGACACGAGTGCGCGCGTACAACACGAGCAGAAAACTCGCCGACCACTCGTACCGTACCGTGTCGTGTCGTGTAATTGCACGAAACTGCCGAGAAGAGACGCGAACGTGGAAGAGGAGAGAAAGAGAAGCGGAAAAAAAGAAGTTACACCGGGCGTAACTATGTATGTAAAAAAGTAAGAGGTAGTCGAAGGACGTGGTGAGGGTATGAGGACGGCGGCGAATGCAGGCCTCTACTTATACGCCACCCACCACGGCCACCTGGAGCACACCCCACCAGCCCGTGAAAACTGGACACCACGTAGTCGAACTCGTAGCCACTCTCGATACACTCGCCACTCTCAGGAACGAGAGAGACTCCGCTCGGATCCTGACTGTTTGGTTGGTTACTCACTCGAATCGCGGCGAGCGAGTCAGCTCCTGGTTCACCTAGTTAACCCGTCTATTCCACCGCAGAACTCTCGATTTTGCTCTCAGCCAGAGATCCAGTTCTCACTCCGTCCCTCTTCATCTTCTTCCGTCTCTTCTCCCTCTTCCACCATTTATCTCGATCCGTTTACGCGGATCGTGCTCTTTCGATCCTTATTCCCCGCTTTGTTTCCTTTCATCTTTCAAAGTCAACCTTTGTCTCCCGAGTTTGCCTCCATATTTGGAGTTCGTCTTTGTTTCCACGTTTCCTCGCGCCAATCTCTCCCCTTTCAAACATCGTCGCTCGTCACCTCGGAATCCTTCGAGAAAATTCATCTCCCCTTTTGCCTTGTCTCGCGTTTCTCTTTCTTTTTCCTTTGTCTTTCGATCGTCGTGGATCGAGATCATTCGTCACCTTCGGTCTGGAAGGCGCGTTGACTTTCAATTTTCTTCCACGCTCGTCAGAGAATTTTCTTCGTTCTTTCTCTAAGGCTTTTCGTCGATGATTCTCGAGATGATGGCGAGGAACCGCTTTCACGAGTCGCGTGAATCATGTGGCCGCCTCGAGAGCAGCGATTACGTATGTATCTATTGAACGCAGATGCAGTCAGAAACGTTGACAAAAGTGAAAACGTCCGGCCGATTCTCTCTCTCGCTTCGCTCCGAGGATTCAACGGCAAGATTGCTCTTTCTTTCAGCCTGTAGCAGAAACGATTGGAGACGATCTTCGGCCCCTTTGGCCGCTAACGGTATACAGTTCGTTTAGGCTTCCCCTTTGTCGCCACGATGGCCTGCGCCAGAAAGAGAACCGTTTGGTATTCAAGAGCTGACTTTTCGTTGCTTTTCGTATTCAAATCCGTATCTGTCTCTTCAGCGAGCGAGTACGCTCGAGTAGGGTTTTTTAAATATATAACGTTCGAGCAAATGGTTTAATAGTATGCAAAAACAGTGTGCATTAAATTCGTCGTTAAAAAAAAAAAGAAAAACACGAGTTTTTGTTAATTTATACAAGAACTGTGTCATTAGTAACTTCCGAGATATTTGACAAAATATGTCCCAAAATGTGACCCCCAACTTTGAGCTTATTGTTAGTTTTCATCCTGTTGACAGGATCGCGTTTGTTACTCAAGATGACGCCTCTGACTGCCAATTGCCGCGTCGTGCGTCTTCAAAATTGTTCGACAAGATATAGAGCACTCGCCTCTTGCAGAGTGTCACACACTTGACTCAAATTCGCCGTCTTCTCTATCCACGAAACGCAAACTGTCGACCAGGTCGATCGTGCTCCGAGGGTTTCGCCGGATTGGTATCGTAGGTGTCAAGGCCCGGTAGAGCCTGCGAGTTCCGTAATCGCACACGTATACACATGCGCACGCATACACAGAGTGCCGAGGCGCAGCGACAAGAACCAGAAGGTGGATACCACGTTAAAGGTCTTTACGTCTCGTTGCGCAAGAAGAATGTCGATCCATTAGGACCAGGTGAAGCCAGGCCAGGCCAGGCCAAGCCAAGCCAGATCGCGGTAATCCGCCGTAATCGAACCGTACCAAAAATTCTAGTACCTCTTTCGACCTCTCCTTTACCTTCTCTCGTAATTACCTTTCGTCGTATTTTCAATGGCACGCGAAAGTACAGAGGATCTCGAGACAGCGAATTCTAATCTACATAACCTCGTTCCTTCAGACAATTTCGACCAGATCGATGGATCAATAAGGGACAATATACAGTGTGATGTATTGTACTACGCAACTTGAGTCGCAGCGAATGCGAATTTAGACAAACGAATAAGTAAATAAATAAATAAAAGTACCGATACTTTGGAATAGGCAAATAAATAAATAAATAAACATGCACGGCATGTAGGTGTCGCTGATACTTTGGACACGCGAATAAGTAAATAAATAAATAAATAAATAAATAAATAAATAAATAAATAAATAAAAGTGCATGGCATACAGGCGTCGCTGCTACACCCACAGCTCGTAGAGGCTGCTGCGTGCATACATGTATGTATAATACTTGCGAGACTTTCTCTCGACAAGGAGAGCACTCGTGCGCGCCCCTTTACCGAGCAAGCACGCGAAACGACGGAGAACAATGTCTTCTCTCGCGCGTTATTACACTACAATGTGCGAGCCGAGCTCCTAGAGTGGAGTTAGGTTTGTTTCTCGATTGAAATTTGCTGTACACATAGCGCAGGATGCGTGCTCCCGATGAGAACGATGAGAAATTTTCACTTGTAACAAATTAATCGATCCTTTCATTAATTGATCTCTCTATTTGTTACAGTGTCGAAAGTATTTCAATCTTTGTTAATAAATTTGCAATTTACTTCTCTTTCTCAGACGTGTGATATTTTACTGTTTGATTAAGAATTCCAATAAACTGCAATCACTTACAAATTCAGACCAACGATTAATATCGACAAATCTTGGTTAATCAAAACACCAATAATTATTACTGGCATATTATTTGGCATTTAACTTTTGCTCTGTGATCAGGAATAGATCATCTTTGAGATTATCAATTCGAAACACAACTTAATGTACCAGAAATATGAATTAACGATGATCAAATTTATATATTTTTTATAATACTTTCTATACTATTGTACCATCTGTAATGGGAGGATCTGGAAACTTTTCCAAACCCCGGTGTGCCTGCCTCAAAGGTTTGTCGACCTTTTGAGAAAATCGAGCGTGGTCGAGCTCGATTTCAATTTCAAATCGGTCGTCGACTGAAAATACAAACAGAGTTCTCGATACCGAGTGCCGCGCGATGGATACGCGAGGTGAGCACGACTCGTTCGAGTGATCTCGGAGGCGTTTGAGATTCACGGCGTTGCGCCGGTATATAGATGACGGATGAATTAGCCGCGCTTGATTACCATTCAACCTGGCGCCTACTATATCCGCTGCACCTCGGACCTTCTGCGTACAAATCGAAGGCTAAATACGGCCGGCCATTGACTGTAGACGCAGGTGCCCGTGAACGCAGGTGCGTCGTACACCAGAAATTACGACCGGCATTCTCTTGTCTCGACTTACGACTGGAAGGATGGAAGGTAGAGAGGGCCTCGAGCCACCATTACCTCTTTTTTTTTCCCTATTAAGGCCCTTGTCTATTTCAGAGTTTCAGAGTTTCTCGCGAGAGTTACTCTCACTTGAGAGCAGCTTTGATAATTCTCACTCTCGAAGAAAGACTGAAATACTCTCCGAGAGCTTACTGTGTCTATTCGAGAGTTCATCCTTTCTGGCCCTACTCACTGAGGCGTAGTTTAGTTCGAAACACGAGTGCGAACAGTGACATCGCAGAAAAATATGTACCCTCATAGTTTGTCCGTAATATTTTGAGAAGAAAGAAAAATCAACATAGAAAGAAGAGTTCAATAATTTAAATTATTATACATTTATATTTATATATGAGAAAGATGTTCTTAATAAAATTTATTCAAAAGCTTCGACTGCTCGCGATAGAATTGAATTGGCTACCGAACTCTTTACTTCCGAGTGTCATTTATAGATAGCACCCATTTTTTCTTAAGGTATTTTTGTCAGTTTCTGAGAGTTTCCTAGAGAAATACATTCTTTGTGTTTGTCTTGTGTTCTTCCTTCAACGTGAATTTTATATACTTTTTATGTATCTTTATTGAGATTATTTCTTTGCCAGTTTTATCCCTGACACGCAAGACAGTTGCAAAACGCGTCGAGAATCAGCCGTATGACGCATCTTGAAAATATAATAGGTTTACGTGGGCAAGCGTCTCGTTCGGAAGAATGCCGTAGGTAGCACACAGCCCTGATTCTGTTGATACGATACGACGTGTGTCATATTGGCTTGGTCAGAAAATAATTGTGGTTTTTTTTTCTCTGATTGACGAATGGATGTATGTCTCATACCGGTATTAAAACCATATTGCGATAATATGGGAGCAAGTACCGGTATAATATCTAAACCTCACAATATTTCGATTTCAGTCTCTGGGTATAATACCTAAACCTCGAAATATTTCGGTCTTCAGTCTCTGGTAGTACAGACTTTACTTCGACGTTCAATCTTCTATTCGAAAGTGTAACGCAAGTGGAATATCCTGAAATATGGTGCTGATGGATTATCGAGATTGACCGTGAAACTTGTTGACCAAGTTATCGATGAACCGACGCACGCGTGCACGGGACACTCGCGAACGATTGTCAGAACCTTGGCTGCACTTTCGCGAAACTCGGGCTGCATTTCAATGGACCTCCGCGGTTTGCCCGATTTCTCGATACACTTTCGAGAGAGAGAGAGAGAGAGAGAGAGAGAGACGTTTGTTCGTGGAATTTTTTCAAAAGCAAACGCGCTCGCAGAGGGAATTTTCAGAAGAAGAGTGTGTCTCGGAACCTCCTTCGAGTAGCCTCGCCTGTTCGAAGCAAGTTTGGGACGGAAATTCATTCCGTGCACGGACGATGGTTCGACGATGGTTCGAAAACACTCCGCGCCCTCCTCGTGGGTTTATTTAGAACGCGGCGATGCCGGATTCGATTCCTCGCTTTCTCCGTGTTCGCGTTCTAGGTAGCGCGTGTAACCATCAAGCTGATGAACAACCGAACGCCTCGTGCGTCATCGCGCGATTGTTAATCGACTCGGATGACCAGGCCAAGATCGAAAGCGCACGATAGATCGCGAGGCACGCGATTGCAGAAATCGAATTTTTACGTTTGCTTCGAGTTTCTGCCGGTGAGCAACTCGTGCTCTTTCGAAATTTTGCTCGTCGAGTTCTTCTCTATTTCGCAGCTGATGTGCAAGTTACCCAGTTGAAATAATTTTTCTAAAGCACATTCGCGCTTTTGTGACCGCTTTTTTCTATTAAATTTAAGAGCAATCATTCCTTCTGGAGAAATGCTAGAAATAATTTACGACAACGTGATACAACAAAGGCATAGAAATATAGAATTTCTATCGTGTGGAGTCAAATCTTTTTAATTCTAAAAATTCTTAAAATCCTTTTTTGTTGGATGAGAAACAAAGAATTCGAATGATTTCGTAGCTTGACATTCCCTCATTCGGATACCGTTGGAATCTTGAAATGACGAGACACGGAGATTCGCCTCCGTTACTTTCCTCGTTCGTCTTTTATACGTCAAACGGCTCCGACTTGGCCTTTTCGATTCGATCGATTCGAAGATGAAAGAATCGAGCCAGGCACTTTCCACGAAATTCCTTTTCGGCGCCTCCTCCTCGTTCGGGGGGAGGGAGGGAGTGTCAGTTTCGTCATGGCGCTTGCTCGAAAGAAATCGGGAACTATCGGCGACGTTGGATGCATTCGTCCAGTCGAATTAGCCTTTTACTTTATTTTTAAACGGCGCCCGAAATGGCGCTATTGTGCTCCGAGAAGCGAAAGTCATCGGCGATGTTCACACACGCCTTAGATTCCGGTTCTTGGCTGTCCTTAACATTGAACGGGCTGGTCGTGTTCGACCTTACGTCGAGAGGATGTTTTGCAACTTGGAGATTTCACTTTGATACCCTGCATTCTCACCGATGGCCGATGGGATCGACTATCGACACTCGTAGCAAGCTAGCGTATCCGCGTATCGAGTATCTCGCGTGCTCGTCGACGATTTTGTCAAAATCTCGTCTGTTTCAACCTCCTCTTGAGAGAAAATGGGATGGCGCAGATGGTGTTTGATCGTTTGGCCGATCATTCGAGCGAGATTTCGAACACATCGCCGCGTGCCGACACTTTGCAAAAACCGGTCGTCAACTTGACCCGGATTTCGCCAATTTCCATTACGTCTCGTTACGCGGCTGTTGGAGATGGAACGACCTTAACATTGCATCGGCGCGTACGCGCGTTGTATCGAGCCACAACGATCTCGAGAGAGAGAGAGAGAGAGAGACCTTAGATCCTCGACGACTCATCATCGGTCGGAACAGAACCATCAGAGATGGAAATTTCGATCGGGAAAGTAATTTCAAGCAGAGATATTGACCGAAACTCGGGACAAAACGAAAACCAAACGTCGCTCTTCGAAATATCGGAATATTGGAACGTGAAACGTAAGTTTGTAGTTGTCCTTATGTAAAACCTTCGGAGCGCAGAAACATGCAGAGATACGATATCAGGGGGAAAGCGAATAAGAATCTCCTCTCGGAGAAAGTCCTTTCCTCTTCCTCTCCAGTCGAACAACGCCTCGCTTTGCTCTAACGGCTCTACTCTCGTTAGATCGCGAATTTCCATGCACATATGTATGCATGTATGTATTGAAACAGTTTTGCAAGTTTCAGAGCATGGTTGTCCAACCTTTTAGACTTTCTGGGCCTCGAGGGCCGCGCATAGTTTACATGTTCGTTATTATAACCTATATTATCTACGAGGATGTTAAAATATCTTTTACAGTGACGCGTCGATTGGAAAAGTATGTTTATATTAATTAAAAAAGTATGGAAAATTTTTAACAATAACGCTGAGCTGATTTTTTAGGTACCAGTTTACTTAGATAGATGTCTAGTTCGATACAGGTAGTGGCAACTACTAAAGAGTATTTTCAAGATGCTCGTCTAAAATTTTCGTTCTTATTTTATTATTCGTGTGCTACGTAGGAGAAAAGAATCTGCTCGCAAATACAAGTATTCCCCCCAAAAAAAGGGACATCACGAACGTTAACATGGTTAAAGTTATTCAAATAACAAAATTCTTAAATGCCTAAACGTTCTAAACTTTAACTTTGAAGCAAGCTGGTGGTTCGATCGATTTAATTACAGAATAATTAGTAAATTAATTGCAAAACAATTAGTAAATTGGCGTCTCTGTCCAGCCAATGGACACAGGATAACGATAACAATTCAGCGTTGCAACGTTCCAACTGATCGATGATAAAAAGTGACGATAAATTCTATTCTCTGGTAAAGAGAAGAACGGGGAGAGAACGAACGAACGAAAGAGTCGGCGAACGGCCGATGTCGCAAAACGGAAAGTTGTTGCGAAACGAGGAAACAATTATAGAAATGCGACGGTATTATTTGTCATTATTGTATTGCGCAAAAGTGTAACGCGGCGCGGCTGATTGTTCGTTACGAGCTCTATCGTGCATTTCTCCCCGAGAGGAAATGAATACGCGGGGGCCGCGCGGCTTATGAGAATAACTCGGTAATTGTACTTCATTTACCGGAGCTGGTGAAGCTCCTGCGCGTGCACGATCGTCCTTTATCCCTCTTCTCTTCGATGCTCCTGAAAAACACGGACCATTCGTCGCGAAACGGAGCGAGAAAGTCATCTCGGGGTTGCCGACCAGCGAAACGAAACGCTCGATTTTCTCAAAAGAGAGAAAGTTCAGGTTTACTTTTCGAACGAGACTTTATCCTTCGAAAACTGTGCTCTTTTCCAATTGGATTTGCTTTGAAAATGGCGACTTGTGTGTCCCCGTACGTGAGACGCGAAAGATTTTCACTTTCAAGGAAAGAGAGAGAGAGAGAGAGAGAAAGAAGACATCGTTGCTCGCGTGCACAGCATTCGCAAAAGTGCAGACACTGTCGTGATTCTGGATACGTGCACGTATACTTTGATTTAGATTAGAAGCGCCATCCCTCTAGTCATGCCAGACTGCGGATTTTTCTCTAAATTTCTGTTTTTGAGAATACAATTAAAGACTGGATAAGAGATTGCTTTACGTACCAAATATTACAGGATGAACTGTCCTTTAGATATTTTATACAGAGGGGGCGAAAATCCACCCACCTTTCCTCCCACCTACCTTTTGGGAAGATTCTTTCTTTTAACATAAGAAGATTATTTTATTATTTTGAGAAGATTATTTCGTTTAATGTAAGAAAGAAACTAATTTCATTGATTTTAAATTTTAAAAACATTGATCTGCAACAAAGAAAAATTAGAAAAAAAAAATATTAATCAAGAAAACAGATTTATTTTAGTAAGAAATGATTTTTGGCCCACCCTGTGATTTTTGACCCACTCTATATTGGATAAGAAAGTGCATCTCGCGCAATTTTGCACTTTTTTTTAATTTTCTGCAAATGCAGAAAGAACCGCAGTCTAGTCGCATCTGCCGTGGCTACAGCCGCCGACTTCGACGACATTATCGAAAGGTCAACGCAGGATCGGTCGTCTCTGGACATGAAGAACGTACCATACGTCGCCAACTCGGCTTTTAAAAGTCACCTGTACGTGACTCTGCAAACAACCTCTAGACTCTATCGCATACACGCGCCAACAAAAAAAATTCCATTTTCTGGTGTCGTATTGCTGCTCGAGCAGCGAAATGGTTAGGAAGTCTGGAGGTCTGCATACTCGAGGAAGACAACGCGCATTCGAGTGGATGGCGTTTAATTATTCACCGGTGATCCTTGATTCGGACCACATTCCATTAACGATTTCCCGTTTCGCTCGACCTCTGTCGCGATCGCCGTTACCATCTGTCGTAAAGGACGACCGTTTCCGTCGTTGCGTCAACCTCGCCAGAGACATCGGTGAACCGCGAACTCTCACGCGTTTAATCGAACAATTTCGAGATATAAAATTCCACAGAACGCGTGTGGAATTTTGCCCGCGTGTGGTGTTTTTTTTCTTACTCGTTAACGTAGAGACATAGTGTCCGTGTATGTCGTTCGAGTGGCCATTTTCAAATCAATAATTCTCGCGTGTCGAAGATACGAAAATACGCAGAATATGTATGATTTTTCTATTTATTTTGAACGCAGAAGCATCCTGTATGTCGTTCGAGTGGTCATTTTCAAATCAACAATTTTCACGTGGCTTCCAAGTCCTCCCAACCTTCCACGATCTATCGATTTCCCGAGTTTGCTTCTCTCGCGCGTTATCAGACCGGCTGACGCGACTCGGATGGTCTTTGCGAGTGAAATGCTTCTTGCGAAGGCTTCAAGGCCGACGAGATACCGCCTCTCACTTTCGTACCTCTCGGCGTATACCTCGCGCGACCGAGACTCATCGAGTTTGCCTTTCGCCCTCTCCTTTTTTCTTCTTCTTCTTCTTCTTCTTCTTCTTCTTCTTGTCCTATTCCATTTTTATTTTTCTTTTCTTTTTCTGTTGCGCTCTATCGTTCTCTCCTTCAAAAACCTACAGATAGTATTTCTCGACGCAACAACCCATTTCGTTTTTCAAAAAATTCGTTTCTCTTTATCTCGGGGGCTTTTTCTCTGAGACTTTACGCTGGGTTAGATGATTCTAACTTGCCGACTTTATGGTTAAGAACCGATTCGACAAAATGGTAAAATGGTAAAACGACGGGGGCGAAGGGCGGATTGTCGATGTCAATGGGATAAGAGAGTTAAGGAGCGAATACAGAGAGAGAGAGAGAGAGAGAGAGGTTTTAAAGTTTGGGAGTGGTACATGCGCGCGAGATGTATAAAAGATGAGAATGCGAGAGTGCAGATGGAGCACGCCCTCGACATTCCAGAGCCGCTCGTTGGAATTTCTCTTGCTTACATCCCACGCCGGGACCGCGTATGTTAATACGCCGGAGGAAAGTAGTATGTAACTCGCGAGATAAGAGACGGCGATTCCTAGACCCGTCAAGGTTAGTCAACTTAAAACACCCACGACGACGATTGACAATTCCTTCGTCTTCTGTATCTACCGAGCAGGTTTCGTCTTTTTTTTTTTTTTTTTTTTTTTTTAACAATTTTATTTTACTAATTTACATTTATACAGTGAGTTATACCTCGAGTATAATCGGTGAATGGCAGCCTTCTTCTATACACCTGTACGTCGTTTGAAGCTTTTGTCGAAAACGCCTTTTTCTGATTTCTTTTCAATCGGCAAACGCGAATCGGTAACGTTTCCACGAGCTTTTACGCGCGATATTTCCTTTTCTTTTCCTTTCTTCGCGCGGATGGCAATTCTTTTCGTTCGACGCGGTTTGCGAAGAAGAGAGGGAGAGACTTTCGTTTCGCGTGTTCGTCCAAACGAAGAAGAAGGGAAAAAGGTCGCTTCGCCGGTCGTTGGACTTCTATTCTTTCCCCGTTGGATCGAGCAAAGCTGGAAATTCGCGCGTTCGTCCTCTCGTCTCGTCTCGTCTCTCTATCCTCTGCGATAGGGTTTCGGTTTCACTTGCACCTCCTCCCGTTGAGTCTCCTCCACCTCCTCTTGCAAAGGCTTGCTTCCCTTTGTACCGCCGAACCTGCCGCGTCCCGATGACTTTGCCTCGTTCGCGCCGTTCGCCGTGTTCTTGCTGCGGCTGTGCGTGGTTGCTCTGAAAACCACGAAACAATTCTCGTTTATTAAAACTTATTTGATCGCTTTCGACCAATTTGAGAGTCTGTCTTTCTTTCTTTCTTTCTTTTTTCTCTCTTTTTTTTTTTTAAGTTAGCTAAACTACTTGAAAGGTTGGTTGTTTCAATTACTTGGATTTAGGCGTGGTCGATTCTGTGCCGATTTGCGTGCCGGAGGTTTGCTCTCGATGAGAGCTCGGTCCCACTTGAGCTCTTCTTCTCTTCAGCGCCGCCAGCAGATCCTGATTCGACCTGGAAACAAAAGACTTTGGTTAGAACGCGAGAAGCGTACTCGAAGTAATCGACCTTGTAACTTTGCTTTCGCGTCGGGAGAGAGAATCGTTCGTTATAATCACGCAAGAGAAAAAAATAAATACACCCGTCCCTCCATTTATTTTCTACACGCGATCTGAATATACCACGCGGAAATTTTCCACGAGATAATTAAAGAAATGTCGCGGCGCTATCGATTTACAAAAACTAGACAACAGATAGAAAACACGAGACAATGAGTTTGTGAGTTTCAATTAAAAAAAAAGAAAGAGGTTGAATCAAAGAGTAGCAGTGACACCGAATGAAATTTACCTTTGTTTTATTTATTTCTTGTTAACCTATACCAGCTTCTCTTTCCAATATTGTTTCCGACTATTCGTGTATTACCAATACTCCATTCGCGTAAATAATACCCCACAGAAACGAGGTTGACAAGAAAATGTATTCGAATCGGGACAAAGTATACAAATTCAATCGAATGTTCGACAATGCGCTGGAAATTGCAGAGAACGAGAGCAATTACCTGAAAGGTCTGACGCCGCCGCGAACTCTCTTCGAGGATTCGGTCGTGGTGGTTGGAATTTCCTCCTGCTGATCTTGACTATCGTCCAGTTCCTCCTCGCCTTCTTCCTCGACCTCGGCCGGCTGTTCGACCGCCTTGGCGGTGGTCGACTGCGCCTGCAATGGGAGGATCGGCAATCGTTATCGGTTAATCGAGTTCCGATCGTTTCGAACTCGCGGGGAAAACTCACGGCTGCCGTCGCGGCTGGTTTCCTTCCGACGTTTATCCGCCCTCGCGATGACAACAGCCCTCCGAGCCGGCCGGAAGTGGGCCTAGCCGGCGCAGGGGTCACCGGAGCTGCCGGCTCCTCCTCGTAGTCGTACTCCTCCTCTGCCGATCTCACCGCTGCTATCAGACAGCAGCTGATCAATCTGCGAACGAAACGCGCTCTTACGTAAATGAGCCGAACCAACGTACAGGCTGCTCGACGAAAGCCTGAACGAAGTTATTTTCTCAATCAGTGGAAACGGTACGAAAATCGTAACTTGAGAATTATTTCAGTTATTGTGTCAAGTCACGCGAATCATTCTGTATTTTTTTCTTCTTTCTTCACTCGTAATCAACTTGTGTCGCCGTTGTTAAACTCGTTTTGAAAACACGCGAGATTATCAATATTTTTTTTAATTACTTCAAAGTCACTTTCCACGTAAGAAACCGCGTACCTTTCTTTTTCTCTATTCTGTCACGCAGCTTGCGAAAATGTGTTTATAATATGATCATTGGACTTAAAAATTTTTGAACTAAAACTCCAGATTAGGATGACAACAGAATAAACAATCCTTTGTTTAATTTATATCTTTGAAACTATGAATTTTTGGACTATTCGTTTATTAGGACTTTTTCTCCTCTACCATTTACCCATTATTAAATGTTATTCACTCTATCTAATGTATGCCCAGTTACTCTGATCTCAACATGGAGATTCTGGACGAATCGAACGAGCTTCGTTCCTCTTAAATTTTAGTTTCTCTCTCTGTCTCTTACGCTCTTTTTCCTTCGATAGCTACACACACGTGTTAACTCGCATTTTGAATACTTTGTAGAATTTCGTGAGACGATCACTTGAATCGGGACTCAGTGTCAGACGTTCGAGATCTCTTTGATCGAACCTGCTGTGCACGTACCTGCTGCACCGAGACAGGAAATACTTTTCCCAAACGTCGGAGGCAACGAACCGATCGGCGAGAAACCCGCGACAGCATCCGACGGCCGTTGCTCTTTCCGCAATGATGGATATTATTAGAATCTCACCAGCGGAAGGAACTTTACGCGCCGCGGTTATTGGCTTTTCTTTTTTTCTTCTTCTCTGCATATGTTGCACGACTATTGATATCTCTCGAAAGAGAAGAAGCGCGTGAAAGAGAGAGAGAGAGAGAGAGAGAGAGAGGTTGAAATTGAAGAATGTTGTACTCTTTGAAAAGAAGAATGACGTTAGTCGACGCATCTCTGGCAGGATACGCGCTCGATACAACTCGCGTGATCGGTGCAACTTTCGCCAAGGATCGAAAATAGAATCCGAGGACGTTCATCGTCCTCCTCCACCGTGGGTGGGGAATCTTGGGTGTGCTGGCGCTCGCGCGATCGGCGTGCACCGGTGATCACGGTACCCCCGGTGCACGTTTGTCGTTGTAGTATACACCAGCTGGATTCTGACCTGTGACATTCACGTACGAAACTCACTTTCTCTGGCTCGGGCTCGTGCAACTCGGCTCGCGGTTGGACTTGTCGCGTCGCGGCTACGTGAGACGGCTGACAAATGTCACGTGAAAACTAGCCGAATTCTCGTGTCCTCGAGTCTCTTCCTCGCGAGCGCGCTCACCGAACGAACGAAAGAAAGAAAGAAAGAAAAGAAAAGAAAAGAAAAGAATCGGTGAAACTCGATCGCTCGAGTGCACGCACCGATCGCGGCATCGATCTCGAATTTGGAATTTCTCGACGAAAAACGATCGGGTCTCTGCCGAGTGGGCTTTCTCGTGGCTGGCCTTATCCTGACGCAATTCCGTTGCTCGCTCCGGTGACCACAGCTGCGATTGTGACATAACGTCACGGTTATTCGTTTTCGTGGTTGCTCTTTTCGTTCTTTCGTCACGCTCTTTCTTTCCGCTGAGAAACTACACGACTTGACTCGGAATCTCTCGATTCGGCTCTTGTAAAATCAGGCTGCGTGGGTGCGCTTCTCGTTTTCATTGGGAGAAAAGAGAGAAGAAAGTAGAAAGAAATGGCGAGAGATAAAGTCATGAGAGAAGGTGTCTGGAATCTCGGTTAATTACCATTATCACGACACACACACACAGAGCTATGCTACCAGTCTATCTAATTGATTTCCTGGTTGAGAACAGGATCGAACGCGGTCTCTCGACGGTTTGCATAACGCGTTTCTCTGTTCTCTCGTTGCTCGCTCGCTCGCTCGCTCGCTCGCTCTCCTCGCTAGCCGATGGAAATTCACTTACGACAGCAACACCGAATGGCTCCAGCTCGGTACGTGCACCTTTCGAAGGCCTTGGCCACTCTCAATGTGGATCAAATCATACTCGTCCCTGTCCAATCGGTATCCGATGCAACGTGTGTGTGTTTACAGTTTACAGGTATTTCGGGATATTGAACGGGTGTTAGGTTTCGAAAAAGTTGTTAAAAATCGTAGACTAGAATTTTGCGGCGAAGCGAGCAGAAATATTGCGAAAGATAGGTTCGGTACGAGATGGCGAGATACTCACGCGAGAATGGCTAGCTTCATGGTGGCCGTTGGCAGGCGGACGAGACGTGGCGACGACGAAAAAGCTGGTGGTCTTTTCCGGATGTTGACGTTGGCTGCGCGTGCTACGCGTGGAAACGTGGATCCGACTGTTGCCACGGGCGCGAAGCCGCGAAGAATGAGTATGGCGTATGAGGGAACCGAAAGCACACCACTGCAATCGCGGAGGCTGTGTACTTTGGAGTGCCGTGCCGAGTTTCCCCTTCTCTCTATATATATATGACTCTGTCACTCTCACTCGTGGCCAGCAACCACCCGTGGCCGAACCCATCCACGTCCACCTATCCTGCCTGCCTGCCTGCCTGCCTGCCTGCCACTCTGACATATCCTGAACGATAGCGGCGCGACACGCGATATCCACGCAGCCGTTGTCCCCCTGATGGACAATCGTCCATCCCCTTTCGCGCGTCGGCAGTGAAATTGCAGGGAATCGCAAGTGCAAATTCTCTCGCCAGAGAACACGAATCTTTCGATAATTCCACCATTCTCTTCCACGGCTCGCCTTCAAACAGCCCATTTCCTCTTCTGAGATGATCCTCCTCCGAGCCAGCTAATTTACTAGTCGCAGCCTGATGACGCAAACACGACTGATTGAGCATCGAATTGAAACGAGAAGGAATCAGCCCGCTTAGGACCGATGTTTTATAGTTTGATCGGGCGTAAGCAGTGAAAGTGAACGACACCTCGAAGGGGCCTCGTGCCTGTTCGTAGCGCAGAGAGAGAGAGAGAGAAAGAGAGAGAGAGAGAGAATACCAGATATCCTGCTGTCCCCTTCCTCCTTTCCCTTTAATCTCCTTTCGCAGACGAAGCTTTTGGCACGCGCTCGGCTGGATCCTTTTCTTCGCGCCACCTTCTTTTTCGATTTCGAGCCCATCTTCTTGATTGTGATCCCAGTTTCTCGACTAAAACAGACTAAACAGTTTTCGTTTCGACACGATCCGTCACGTAGAAATGCCGACATTTGCAGCCGTGAATGTCGGCTGGCCGGTTTCGTTTCGCGATCGGGATCGTCAAAAAAGAAAAAAAAAAAAAAAAAAAAAGAAAAATCGGAGAGGCAGCGCGATTCGAACGGTAAATCCTCTTGCACGGAATCGGGAGAATGTCTCGGCGTAGGAGAGAGGTCGTAAATTTCCAAGAGGCTAAAGAAAGCCTCTCAGGTGGCGTTGTTGGTTGGCTAGACAGGACGATTATCCTTGAAATTCCACCGTGTCGTCTGCGGAGGAGGATAAACCTGGCTCACCGAGAAACTGTCGACGGGAAAGCTTTGTTTCGTTTCGTTCGTCCGTTCGATTATACAGTTTCGAGAGTTTTGAAGACACCTCTAAAGTTTCGATTCCGATTCTGAAGTCTGATTTTCCCGAATCGATTCAGGATCCAGGAGAACGTTGTCGAGTCGTTTCGATCGTGACGATGTCAGAAAACGAGAGGAATGATCGTGAATCGCTCCATTCAGCCTCGAAAGAAAAAAAAGTACAGATAATTTATGCAACGAAATTGGCTTTTCAATCGACACGAATTTAAGTTAGGATTAATCTATTACAAATTCTATTATACATATTAAAGACAAACATAACAACATGTTGCAATAAATACAATAACAACTCTCGTTTTAACAAAAATTCTCGAATAAATCTCGTTATATATGACGTTGTATAATTCTGATTCTAATAAATTTTAATGAAAACGAGGGTTAATCTGTCAAAAGAATTCTATTCTATACGATAATATTGCGATATCGTTGCGCACAAGTTTCTGGAATCACCGCGAGTATTGATAAGCGTAACTGTGCACGCGACCTACCGATTAACAATACCGATGGACGAATGTTAGTCGGGTGTCGACCTTCCTTCGGCTCGGTTCGTTCCGTCCGTATATTTACCGATAAAATCAATTCCAGACGGGTCGCTGTTTGGCGTCGCGTCGTCGCGGTTATCCACAAGATATTCAGGACCTTCCGCGTGTGTAAATGTCAAGTGGCGTTGTTGCTGCAAGTAAGTACAATTGCGCGCGCGTTCCACGTTTCAGCTGGCATTCGAGCACCCATGCGAGTACACCGAATCATCCGTGTAGCTCTCTTGACTCTCGCAATTCGCATACCAACGATCAATGTTCCTTTAATCAATTTCGCGATCATTTTCGTTCGAATCGCGGTGCAAACGTTTGCGAAAAACATTTCACGACATACACGGTCTGAAGCCAAGGGCTGGCCAAACTTTTGTATTCCACGTGTGCCAATTTTTTCGTTTCCTCGAGCGAGCTTTCCCATATGCGCTCAATTATTTTTACAACAAACACCGTGTTACAAATAGTAAACATATAAGAAGGACATTAGAAAAACAACTTGCTCTAATAAGTAATAATAATAATAATGTCACGCCTTGTCTAAAGTGACTTTTTAGAAAAAATAATTAAAATCGCGATCTTTCCGATATGCGCTCAATTATTTTCACAACAAACACCGTGTCACAACTAGTAAACATATAAGAAGGACATTAGAAAAACAACTTGCTCTAATAAGTAATAATAATAATAATAATGTCACGCCTTGTCTAAAGTGACTTTTTAGAAAAATAATTAAAATCGCGATATCTTTCCGATATGCGCTCAATTATTTTCACAACAAACACCGTGTTACAACTAGTAAACATATAAGAAGGACATTAGAAAAACAACTTGCTCTAATAAGTAATAATAATAATAATAATGTCACGCCTTGTCTAAAGTGACTTTTTAGAAAAATAATTAAAATCGCGATCTTTCCCATATGCGCTCAATTATTTTTACAACAAACACCGTGTTACGAATAGTAAACATATAAGAAGGACATTAGAAAAATAACTTGCTCTAATAAGTAATAATTGTAATAATGTCACGCCTCGTTTAAAGTGACTTTTAGAAAGGTAATTAAAGTCGCGATCTTTCCGGCTTTCCCAGGGATCGTCACCGATCGATCGCGTCGCAGTTGAATCATTCTTTCTCGTTTTGAAATTGGCGGTTGGTCAACTCGTTGGCGCACGTTCCTCGAAAGTGAAACGAAATTCTTGAAAAGTTGTCGATTTCGAAATATCGAGAAACGGTACCGGGCCAGAGATCGGGGATTCCGGGCTCTATACCGAACCGTTCGACCTGTATCGCCGGTAAAACTCGTGCTGTCACCTCTCGGCGATGCTCAGCAGTGTCCGAAAGGATCTTGCAATATTCCAAGGATATACATGTACCACCACCTTGGTGTCGAATCGATCGAAACGCATCGATCGCACTCCATTTTGTCGTTTAGGCGTTCTCGAAACTCGAAAATTTCAATCGTCGCCTCTTGAAACCATTTGCGTTCTGCAATTAGAGTTTTAGAGAAACGTCTTTCTTCCATCAATATGCACACGTACACGCTGTACTCCAAGAATTTGCTAAATACTTTTGATTCTTCTCTTCTTTAGATTCTAAACTGGTGGAAAAGTAAATGTTTTTTTCTTTTGTGAAATTTTTTTTACGAGCTTGCAATAGTGCGGCAACCTTTTCTATTTTTCATTCCGAACCAGATCGTGCATTTTCTTTTTGCTAAAACAATCAAATGCAACAAAGTTGGCCCATCTATTAAAAAAAGAAAAAAGACAAAATCGCAATTGTTCTTTGACCAACAAAATAGAATTCTACAAAGTTGGAAAAAAAATCGAAACATCGTTGTCCTGCGAAGTTTCATTTCAAAGTTTTACACGCAGGCACACGTAGAATATTAAAGCTTCGAACTCTTTGCAAAGTTGGAGGGACGAACGCACCGTAACAAAAGTTCGTCATCTTGCAACTTGTCTTGAAACTTGCGTGTTTTTTCACCTGGCCGTTACGAAATTTCCCCGGAACTAAACGTCTTTTGCAAGGATATTTTTCATCTCTGCCTACTTTGCGAGAATCTACGGCAGAGGTAGCCAAACTTTTCTACCCTGAATTTTTTCCCAAGTAAGCTTCGACGCGCCACTAAATTATTTCAACAACTATGTGTTTGTAAATAGTAAGCATATAAAAAGGACGTTCAAATAAGACGAAATAACATATTTTTTAATGCTTGCTCTTCGTCAAATTATTCATGTCCGGATTTATTTAATTCTGTTGTAGCGAGATCATCAAACTCTTTAAATCCTCATCGGTCGTTATTCTTAATTAATAATTCTCGATCGATGCTTAATTTATCAAGCTAACAATTTATCGCTTGGACAAATACAGTATCAAATTTTGCTTTTAAAAAGCCAAGGGAAACTGATTGTGACAATGTATCGACTAAATTCTGAAAATAGTATTATTCTTTTTATTCGTTGTCGAAAGTTGTTTCATCCTCTGCCAGAAATTATCAAGTGCTCCAATAGTGAGGCGCTCGAGTACTTTCTTTTGAAAAAAAAGAAAAGAAAAGTTGACAATTTGTCGGTTGGACAAATACACTAGGGAGGGTATCAAATTTTGCTTTTAGAAAACCAGGGGAAACTGATTGTGACAATGTATCGATTAAATTCTGAAAATAGTATTATTCTTTTTATTCGTTGTCGAAAGTTATTCCATCCTCCGCCAGAAATTCTCAAGTGCTCCAATAGTGAGGCGCTCGAGTACTTTCTTTTGAAAAAAAAGAAAAGAAAAGTTGACAATTTGTCGGTTGGACAAATACAGTAGGGAGGGTATCAAATTTTGCTTTTAGAAAACCAGGGGAAACTGATTGTGACAATGTATCGACTAAATTCTGAAAGTAGTATTATTCTTTTTTATTCGTTGTCGAAAGTTGCTCCATCCTCCGCCAGAAATTATCAAGTGCTCCAATAGTGAGGCGCTCGAGTACTTTCTTTTGAAAAAAGAAAAGAGAGAAAGCTTTTGAGGGATAAAGCGAAACGGCGGGAAAGTGGCGGGTGGTAAAATTTCATACTGGACTTCCGCAGCGCCGAGCGCTAGCGCCATCCGGCGAAGTAACCGCCGAGGGAACTAAAAGTTCCTTCTCTCGTGGCTCTCGTCTGTCACTTGTTGCATCGCCGTCGGCCTGACGTTCGTTTGCTCCGGGCCCGGCGTGTCGCGTCCGCTCTCTCACCGGTCTCCTCTCGTCGTCATTTTTATTCTCTTACACGTTCTCTTCTCTTTTCGCTACCTTGCGAAACGATCGTTACCGCGAAAGATCTCTCTGCCTTTGAATCAGAGCCAAGAATCCGTGCGTCGAATTTTACTTCACGCTTTCCACGAGAATTCACGTTTTTTTTTTTTTTTTTTTTCACGAACCGCGATATAATAC